CATCCCCACCTGGCACGGGAGACGGGCACTCTACCCAAACCCTCTCAAATCAAAGCTGCTCAACCAGCCCCCCGAAGAAATACTTACTGGGCAGCTGCTGCCCAGCCCCAGGCATAAAAGGCAGATCGGGTCTGCTGCATAAACACACACACACACGATTTATTTTCTTCTCCGTCCGTACAGCTGTCCTGACTGTCCCGTCTACAAGGCCCCAGGATCTTCCATCCTTTCTCCACCGAGAGTGATGCCTCTGAGAAAGCCGAGCCCAGTACCCCCTGGGAGATGTCCTGGGGTGCCAGCGGTGCAGGGCTGGGGTGCAGCTTTATGCTGCAGGGCAGGAAGGCAGAGCAGAGCAGTCACTGCCGGGAAAGCACCGATGGAGCCGAGGGCGGGTTCGGATACGAGCACGGACACTTGCTCTTCATTCACAGGCTGTCATCTGAACCCCCAGAGACCCACCATGCCCTGGGCCCTGGACAGAGAACTCAGACCGACAAGAACGCTTGAAGGAGGAGGCCCCCAGCCCCAGCTCGCCCTGAGAGGAAGGCCCCACTGGGTGTCACAGTGTGACCCCTCTTTAGTGCTTTCACTCCAGATTGGGGCAGGGGTGGGGGCGTCTCCACGTTTCATCAGTGGCAGGACCTGCTCCATGCCTCTGGCTGCCAGGGCCCGTGGGCTCCAGGCTTTGCCATCTGGGAGGGCAGGAACGTTCCACCTGTACCCAGATGGGCTGTGTCTGGAGTCACTGCTTCACAATGACGGTGAAACCTGGGCATCCTCACCCTACATGCATGAGCAGGGAACTGGGGGCTGGGGGTGCTATATGACTCTGTGTGCAGTTAAAATGAGGGGGCTACATGCATAGGTGGGAGAGATTTCTAGGACATGTATGGAGCAGCACCCCAGGTATGATGTGCATCAGGCTGCCCATCTTGGAAGACAGACAAGCCGTGGGTGGTCTCCTCTGCACAGTGCTGGTGGCCGGCTCATAACGCGCCAGTGAGGCTGCACCATGTCTGGAAATACTGAAACCTGCCAGGCTGGTGGGTAAACAGCCACCACCCAAGGGCCCTCAACTGCCCAAGGCCCCCCTCCAGTCCAGCAGGGGCCCGAAGACCCCGCACCAAGGTCACGGCAGGGTCCTAGGAGCTCCACTGATGAACAATTTTTAGTATCACTCCCACTCACAGATATATAGGAAAATGCCTGCAAGGAGGGAGATACACAAAGATGCTGATAGGAAACATTTCTAGGGAGGGGAAACGACTTGGGGTGGAGGAGTGAAGGGGATGCCGCACTTTATGTTCCTCCCAAAGGGCACATGGACATATTTTATAGTGAAATGTATTCATGACTGTTTCTCAGAAGGAGAGCGTATCTGCGCAGTACTGCCAAGGACCCAGCCAGCCCCAGCTACGCTCCCGCCCTCACCCTGCACCTCCAGACCTCCCGCCTTTGCACACACTGGGCCTTCTGCCCGGGTGCCTGTGTCCCACTCTGCCTTAGGAAAGCCCCCACTTGGTCTTGCTGGGCCCAGCTGGAACGCCCCTTCCTCTGTCAAGTCCTTCTAGAAGCCCACCTCCCATAGATAAAGAATCACCTCCCACCTGAGTGCCCACAACATTCGGCCCATGGAGGGCAGCCCTCCTTCAGAACACTGCGCCCCACCAGTCTGGCAACTGACAGGAGCTTGAGGACAGGGGCTTCTCGGCTTCTTCATCCCCCAGCGATGCCAGCTCAGGGCCTGGCACCCACTGGGTGCTGGGTTTACGATAACCTGTATCACTGTTCATTCCCACACCCCCAGTGCCTGGCACTGAGTATGGATGTGCTGGCCACGTGGGGAAGTGAGGAAATGAGGGCACGTGGGCATGAGTGAGTGAATGGACAGGTCTTGGTTTTATGGACCAGTGAGGCCCCAGAGGGAGCACGTGTATGGCAGGGGGCCAGGGGGCAGGGTGCTGCCCTGGCCAGGTGGGCTCACCTGGGTCCATCACTTGAGGCCAAAGTGGGTCAGATCAGCACCACGTTCAGGTTCTCAAACCCCATCTCCAGGACTGCCCTGTAGGTCTTCAGGCCCACCCGCTCCCCCTCCAGCCTCTGTCCCTGGTCCTGAAAGGGACAGCTCCGTGGCCATGGCCAGCTAGCCCTCCGCTGGGAGCAGGACACTCCAATGGGAGGGAGGGAGGGAGACTTGAACCAGTAAGTAAATAAATATGCACATAGCAAGTAAGAAAATAACCAAGTAAATACATGTAAGTCAAAATTACATCGATAAATAATTAGGCAAATAAGTAATAAGTACAAGAAAGTAAATATACAAATTGAATAAGCAAATGAATAAACAGATGAATAAATAAATACGTGAACTATTAAACAAAGAGGACCTTGCACTGTTCTCACAGGTACACTGGGAGCTACAGGCATCCCGACCCCTCCTCCTCCAGGAAGCAGCCTGTCCAATACAGTCCCCTGTGACAGACCCCCCTCTCCTGGGGGCCCACTGCACCATCTCACTCTGCAGGCTGGGGAGGAGCCCAGGGCCACAGGGGCCTGATTTCCAAGCCGGCCCTTCTAGGCTCCCGAGGCTGCTGACCGAGGAGCCCTGACCGGCTGCTCCCCAGGGACCCTACGTCAGGTGGGCTGTGGCCAGGGAGCTCTGGGTGTCTGGGGTGTTCCCATTCCTGTTCTTGTTTTTCTTTGCACATTCAGTGTGCTTCAGAGTTCTTTAACAAGCTGCAGGGAAGGAATTAAGCTCCACTCACAGGAAACAGGAATCGCAATGCAACGGGACTTTGGGGTGTACAAAAGCCTGGATGAAGGGCCCCCTGGAGGCAGTGGGAGGGGCTGGCCCCCCAGAAGGCGATGCTCTGATCGTGAGAAAAGGTGACAGCCACTGGGTGCCAGGCACCCTGTCCAGCATCACGGAAGGAACGCCAAGGATCCCTCGCTTAATGGCTCATGACTGCCCTGCGCGCAGTCCTGAGGCCGCCCCAGCTGACACAGGGGTGAGCCGGGAGGGGGAGAGGTGAGGAGAGGTGCCTGGCACAGCCGCTGGGGCCAGAGCCCGGCTGGGAGCCCCACGGATACCACGGCCTTTGCTGGACCTCCCTAAGTGTCCTGTTAGGTGGGCCTCGTACGGCCTCTGTCCTGGGGGAGCTACGGACGACGGGGGCAGAGAAGACAGGAATCCTCAGCACAGAGCTAGTTATGATATAGTAACTGGATATAACCAAGATGCCCACCAACTGGGAAATGAGGAGCTAGTTAGGCTCACCTGCATGAAGACAGGCTGCACTGGCACGAGACGCCATTTGTAAAAGAACGTCCCAGGACACAGGAGAATGTTTCCCTTGTAACGAAATGGAAGCCCTGGGAGTCAAAATTGTGCATTTTCATCCCCACTTTTCCTTGCCATCTCTGCCTCTTTCTTTCTACCTATCTACTTCCATCTATAGACATACCTATTTAGATACAGATATATAATAATATATAGATAACACACAGACACAGTTGTCTATATATAGATATAGGTATTAATGAAAAACCAGACTAGAAGATGCTACACTGAAATGTGCATGATGCTTCTCTCAGACTGGATTTACGTTTCCTTGGTCTACTCTTCTGAAATTTGAAAATTTTATAACCAGAATAAAATAACACATTTAAAAATTGGAGCTTTAGGCATGGTTTGAGCTCATTTTCTCCTCTTGGCTTTCTTTAGCATGGGTACCACCCACTGAGGCATAAACTTTTGCATACATGCCAATAGCGTCCGAGTATCTGGTCCACCCCGAGGCGGCCCTTCTAGGGTATGCGGTCCAGACCAGCTCTCACATGAGAGGCACGTGCGAGATACTCACCACACCCTGAGCTGCGGTCGTGGGGAGCTGGGGCAGACTGGGGGCCCCGCGAGGGGATGGGTACAGCTGCCACTGCTGTAATGGGCCAGACACCACGTGGCGGCGAGGATGAACACAGAGCACCGAGTGAAATAAGCACAGAGCTCAAAGGGCTCCCGGCATGATTTCCGTACACCAGAAACACAGAGACAACACACTGAGGACACGCGTGCTCTAGCATGAGTGGTGGGGAGGCGAGAGGCCCTGGGTTCGTGAAGAGCTACTTTAAGTCGACCACGTGGTCTTCATCCCTCACTTCCTGAGCCCAGTTAGAGGGACAGTGATGTGGGTGCCTCCTGACCCAGCACCTCACCTGGAACCCCACCAGCTGCCTCTGCAGGGCTGCCTGCTCCGCTCCAGCTCTTTCTAGAGTCATCCTTAGTTCTCGGAGCTCAAGTTCCTTGACTGGGAGGAGAGAGGCAGACCACCTTTTCTGCTTTTGCATCAAAAACCTCCCATTCTCTTTGACCCATACCCCACATAGGTAACAGCTGGGACCCCAGTGCGTGCAGATGGTGCTCAAAATCCTTTCTGATAGAGTTGATTTCTCTCTGATAATCTAAAGGACATCTGTCCATTGGGGGAAATGTGGCAGATACAAAAAGGAATGAAGAGAAACATAACACCCTTCTCTTGGTCGCCAGAAATAACCACAGTTACATTTATGTGTATTTACATATGTGTCCTTTTACATACTAGAGATCGCGGGCAAGTTGTGAAGAACACGGGTCTTGACCTGGGTTTAAATCTCAGCTCAGCCATTCACCAGCTCTGCAACCATGCACGAGTCACTTAACCTCTCTGTGCTGCATGCTCCTCATTTTAAAAGGAGGTGATACTATTATTGACCTCATAGTACTTTTATGAGAATTAGGAAGTAATTTATATAAGTGCTTAGACCTGTCCCTGGGTCATTGGACACCCTCCATTATTTCTCATCGGATTATTATTTTTATTTATCGTTTTTCTGAAATAAGAAAGAATGGCAGCCTTTCTTTTTGTTCCACTTACTATTATAACCTATTACTTAGGCTACTCAGAACAGGATTATAAAACCCAAGATTACCAACGTTACCAGAGCTGCTGAACTGTACTCACTTTTCTGAAGTTTAAAGATAAACTCTTGCAAGAAACCCAAGTTGAATGAAGCGAAACTCTTCTCTGGAATCAGGCCTCCAGGTGGAAGCCCACCAGGGCCCTTGGTATCCTCTTCTGAGTGCCCTTTGCTCAAATTCTGACCCTCCTCGCCCTCCAGAGGTTCCAGATGCTTCCAGTACTCGGTGGAATCCTTTTCAAATTCCCCTAAAATGCAAAGAAATCCTGCAGTGAAGGTCAGCCCCATGAGCAAAAATGAGCAGCTGCTCTGAGCCTGGTGGGCAAGCCTGTCCCTATTCTGGGGCTCAGGGACAGACAGACAGGCAGGCAGAAAGCACTGGGGTCCATGCGAGATGGGGAGACCTGGGGGAGGGCGTCCGTGACTGAGACGGGTGTTCCTCTTTCTGACAGTTTTGTTGAGATTTAATTCACATACCATACAATTTGCCCACTTCAAGTGTTCAATTCAGTAGTTTTTAGTACAGCCACAGATGCGTCACCATGACCACTATCAGTTTTAGAACATATCCATCACCCCAAAGAACCCCTGTGCCCATTAGCTATCACCTCCTGTCCCCCCAGCCCGTCAGCCGTTCTGCTTTCTGTCTCTACAGGTTTCCCTATTCTACGCATTTCATATTCATGGAATCACACAATGTCATCCTTAGTGCCTGTTTTCAACTTGTGGTGTTTTTGGAGTTCATCAACATTGTGGCAATGTAGGGATACTTCATTCCTTTTCGTGGCTGAATGATATTCCACTGTGTGGGCAGACGGCATTTTGTTTATCTGTTCAGTAGTTGATGACATCTGGCTTATTTCTATCTTCTGCCAATTATGAATAATGCTGTGACGTGTACTCATAACGTGTGAACGTACATTTTCGGTTCCTCTGGGTAGCTACCGAGGAGTGGAGTTGCTGGGTCGCCTGGTAGCTCTTTGTTTAGCCTTCGGAGGGACTCCCAGACTGCTTTCCAAAGCCCGGGCGCCTTTCGGCATTCCCACCGGCGGTCAGTCAGGGCTCCACCTCCTCCATGTCTTCACCAACACTTGCGGTTATCTGCCTTTTTGATAGGATTTGAAGGGTGAACAGGGGGAAGGCTGGCACACAGAGGTGAAGGCCGGTCCAGCAGGGCAGCTTGAGCAGAGACGCGAAGGGACGGCAGAGCCGGCAGCCGGGGGAACCATCTGCAGTTTGACGGCTTGAAGTAGGTTGGGCGTGGGGCAGTGCTACGGCCCCCAAGCTCATAACACTTGCGCACCAGCGGCTTGGTTAGAGGTTGTCACGGGATCAGCTTAATCCTCACACCAGCCCCGGCAGGCTCTCCGGGGAAAGGACACAAGTACGGAAACGCTGGGATCTGCCCCGGAGACAGAACACACCAGGGGCCGCCTAGGAAGGCCAGTAAGTCTACAGGCGCGGGGTTTCTTTGCGGGGGGATGAAAATGTCCCAAACTTAACTGCAGCCATGGTTGTGCCTACCTGCGAATATTATAAAAGCTGTGTTGAGGGCGTGTTTTATGGGGCGTGAGAGCCAGCGGCACTTACGGAGCTCGGGAACCCTAGACCCACATCTGCTCTGCGCCCTGGCTTTGCCGAGAGGAAGAGGGTCCTGGGCACGGGGCAGCTCGGGTCTCCTGGGGCGGTGGCACCAGCGGCAGGCGATTCCTGGGCAACTAGAGCTGGGTGAGACGTGGGCTTCGAACGGAGCCCTCCTGTCAGGACGGACCCCAGCGCCTCCGAGGCCGCCGCTCCCCAGAGCCCCGCTCCAGCCGCAGCCACCAAGCAGAAACGGAACCGCTCTCAGGAGCCCGGCCGCTGGTGCACAGCTTGCAGGTGGCTTACAGGGAAGATGGAGGAGGGCTCGCGCACATCTGTTTCCTCTGAAATAACTGCCAAGCCCTTGGAGAGTCACACCGGATCATAGCCACATGTCTCTACAGCCTCCCAGTCCCCCAGCACACGGTTTTATAGATTTTGAAATGAGCCTTAATCCCCTCCAGTGGGTAATTTACACAGCATACCTCCCGGCATGCGAGCTTGGCATCCAAGCACAGGGGTTATACTCAATAGCAGGTAATGAGATGCATTTTTACTTTATTGCTATTATTCACCTTCAACAAGACATTACTGGAAACAGTTTATTTCCTTTTAAACACCAGACTCCATGTGAGAGCTTCCTGTACGTCTGTACATTCCTTCATCAAGTGCTTATGGAGCCAGAGATGTGTCCTAAACCACGTGGCTCCTTCCCTCCAGGAGGGCAGACGCGTGTTCTGGGGTGGTGATGGCAGTGACAGGGGTTAACAGTTACAAAGCAAAAGGCACATGTAGGAGCCTCAGGAGCTCCAAGGCAGCCCATCCACGGTGGGGATCAGGGAGGACCTCCTGGGGGAGGGGGCATCTCTGCTGTGCCAGGCCTACACGAGGCACTGACGTACATGCTTGAAGAGCCCTCGGTGGCAGGCGAGTTCATGCTTTACAGGTGAGGCAGAAGATGTACAGAGAGGTTAAGTGACCAGCCCCGCCCCACTCAGCACGCATGGTGAGTAGGAGCCCAAGTCGGATCTGTTTCTGTCTCAACAACATTAAAGAACAGGTGGAAAAGAAAAATGCCCCCCCGCAGCCCAACACCTAACACAGCTGTTTCCATTCCTAGAGGACCTCTTCTGGTCCCAGAGCACACCCACATTTTACTCACTTGAATGTGAGACGTTTTGGTGCAAAGATGTGGCATTAATCCAGATACTTCTGTTTCTTTGGAACAGAGTTCTGTCTTACTCTTTCTCTGCCCCTAGTACCCAGATCTGTGCCTGGGAAGGAATAAGTGCTCAGGAGTAATCTATTGAACTCACTGATTCACTCAATAAACACACACCGTGTGCCTACCATGAATGTCAGGCATGGCTCTTGGCCAGGGAATGCTTCAGGGAACATACCAGGCAACTGGAGCCCCTGAACACGAGGGGTTGTGCTCTGGTGGCAGACAACAAACAGCCCCACCCACAGGCAAGGAGGGAGGCTGACAGCATACGACGGAATGACAGAGGGAATAAGCAGGGGAATGCGGGTGAGGGAGGGAGGTGCGCCGCTGCGCACAGTGACAGGCTGGCTTCCTGGGGAAAGTGACAGCTAACTGGAAGACCCCCCCCCCCCCTCCCGCTGCCAAAATCCACCTGGCACTAAGAGCATTTGATTAGGCCTTGTCTTAAAATTAAATTTAAATAACAAGGTGTCTATGGGCTGCAGATTATAATGAACTCCCAGGGCAGGTGGAGCCCAGGTCTACGCTGGCAGCCCTGGTGGGTTACCTGTGAGGTTCTGCAGGTGCTGCTTTCCCAGCAGGTGTTCCTTCTTGTTATGCAGAGAACTGAAGAACTGCCTGCAGGTCGGATAGTACAGGTCATTGCTGTCATCCCCCTGTGGACAGAAACAGATTCAGGGTAGGGAGGAGGCACAGAGGCCCCTGCTTTCTCTGCACATGAGATTAGCTTAAAGGGCCTGTGGACTTGATGTGGGCTGGGCCAGGTCCTGCTTGTCCCTTCCCACTGTGAAGTCACTTGGCACTTTGAGGCTTTTCCAAGCACAGCTAAGAATTTAAAATCTTCCCAAGACCTTCACTGGGAAGGAAAGAAAGAACTAGGTATGCAGCAAACAGCAACAACAGGGAGTTAGGAGAACAGGTGGTGCTGCTCGAGAAAGCCCACAACCAGTTCTGGGTTTTGCTTATTTTAGAAGAGTTTGCTTTGAAATCTAAAGCCAGAAATGAACTCTGACTAAATGACACGGGCATGTCCTTTTGTCAGACCATCTGTGCACTCACCCGTAGGCCCTGTGTACCCATGGAATATTTCTGGAAGATGCACTAGAACTGGTCACCTGGACGCCTTGGGATGCAGAGGTGAGCAGGGGACGTGAGGGCCTGGGGCTCTGGCCCACGAGCAGGCCCGACCTCTCACTGTAGGCCTCTGTGCTCTGTTTTTTTTAACCATGCATGCATATTAATTTTTTAAATGAAAAACCTAGTTAATTAAAAAGCATATGTAGCTGTCTGCATTTGCTTACATGTATTAGTTCAGAGATGTAAAAACTCCCTAAGTTCCGACAAGAGATGTTTCTTGACAAAAACTTGATCTGTTCTCGCCAAGAGCAGCCAGGCACCGACTGGGCTCAGAGCACCCTGCTGCGCAGGAAGGCTCCCCTTTATCAGAGGGGAGCACCTTCAGCCCGGAGACGTGCCCTGCCCTGGAAGAAGCCGTGCAGTTTCCTGTACACTGTCCGTGAGGCTGCTCTCCCTCTAAGTGAGCAGAGTGACCCTGTTAGGAGGAGGGTGAGGGAGGGGTGTCCCGGGAGCTCCCCAGAGAAGGAAGCAGAGAGGTGGGGGGACCGAGGGGGCGCTGCATCCAGCACCCGGAGGGAGCTTCCTGAGGGGAGAGAGGTCTGCAGTGCCTGCAGCATGGAGAAAGGCCCCCAGCACCCCGTGACTAGTGCCCAGACTGCAGAGCGAATGCCCCAATGGCACATGCACCTCAACAAAAAGCTCCATATGCTCACTTTTGCTTGTAGACTATTACTACTGTGCAGTTAAACATGGAAAAGCAGGGTGGTAGTTCTAAGCCTTTCAGGTCTGGTGACCTTTTGGACAGTCATGGAAGGGACCCAACATTTGTTTAGATAATCTCTACTACAAATCCTTCTGCAACCTGAAGCCGAGATTAGGAACCGCTGTTGAGAAAAAATGAATCCAAGATGCCCAAGAAAAAGTGTCAAGGATAAGAATAGCTGGGAACCATTTATCCATTTATCCTATAAACACAGTTCTATAAATTGCCATATAGTTTTCAATGAAAGTGTGAGGTCTTCACTTTCCAGCATCAGCTCATGTCTTCCCTCACATTCACCCGGAAGCAACTGAACATTCATGGTGTACCAGGCACTGAGCTCTTGGCCCCTGGCCTCCCGGCTTCATGCCCCTCCATTCCTGTGTTAACAGGTAGCCACACAGGAGGGTAACATGGTGCCAACTACACTGGTGGACAGAGAAACAGCATAGCAGCTAATACTTTCCAGTGCTTTCTAAGAGCCAGCCACCTGATGCTTCATGAAGGTCAGCTCCAACATTCATGGACAGTTGCGCTCTGAGCTCCATGTTGTTATGAGGAAAGCCAGCCCCAGACTGAAAGGTGCTTGTCTAAGGTCACAGAAGAAGGAAGGAAGGTGAGGCTCTGGAATGGTGTGCTCACTGCTGGCATCCCTCTGTGTGAGTGGGGACACAGTGGGCAGAGGAGGCTGCACAGGGAGATGGATGCCAGGTCATGGAAGGCTTACACTGTAGGCAACGGGGAGCCAGCGCAGGCTCCAGGGAGAGGGCAGCTGGGCTGGTGGGAGAGTGACCACAAGGGCTGACCTTCCAGGCAGATGACAACCTCAGGAATCCTCTGCATTTTAGGACCTCAAATCATTTTCTAATGATAAAAGGTTGTGTACATAAAACAACTTTAAAAATTATTATAAATGCATGTTGAACGTAATAATGACAAAAGGGAGGCTGTAAAATAAAAAGGGAAAGGCACCCAATATCCCATCATTTTTACTCACTGTAAGTAAGTTTCTTATTTAGCCTTCCAGAGAATTCCACTGTAAACACCTCTATCTGCCCCTTAAGACTCACTCTCAGTTATTCTTTGTTAATTAAATGTATATTTCATTGTTAATTAAAACACAAAGGGGAGATGCCACCAGTTACATTTAGTTTGTCCCCCTGATGGACGCAGTCACCACTGCCCCGTCCCTGTCCCCACAGCACACTGCCTGCTCCAGGCACCCAACTCTCATGGTTCCCCAGCACTGTCTCCCGGCCTTTGCACGTCTTGTTCCTCTGCCCAGAGCACCCTCTTTGCTTCGTTTCCATCTGCTTGTGCCTTGCCCAGCATTTCCTCTGGGAATTTCCTGGGGGGCCCCTTCTTGCCATGTTCCACCCACCTCTGCATCCGTGTGCCTACCACAGAGCTGGGCTCAGTAAGTTCTTACCCAGGGATCATGGAAAGGCCTCCATAAGGGACTGCTGTCTGGCCACACTCCAGAAATATGTAAAATCCTGTGCCCACATGTACCCACGCCCTGTGGCTGCTCTAACCAATGACCACTAACCTGACAACTTCAAACAACATGAATTTGTTCTCTCACAGTTCTGGAGACCAGAAGTCCAAAATTGGCCTGACTGGGCCAAAACTGAGGCGTTGGCAGAGCCACGCTCCCTCTGGGGGCTAGAGAATCCATTCCAGGCCTCTTCCAGCCTCTCCTAGTGGCTGGGGGTGTCCCCGGGCTTGGCCGCATCACTCCAGCGTCTGCCTCCCTGGTCACATTGCCTTCTCGTCTGTTTCAAATCTCCCTCTGCCTCCCTCCGTGTGGGCTGTATAATCCCCCAGGCCAAACTGTTTAATTTAACCACATCCTCAAAGACACACCCACTCCCCGCCCTTTACCATAGAAGGTCACAGTCACAGGTCCCAGGGATTGGGATCTAGAGACCTTTTGGGAGGGAACATATTAGCCCTCACTCTCAAATTCACTTCCTGGTGTATCTGTTCCTGAGAGAGAAACAAATGGCATCATCCTAAAAAGTGTTTGTCTCAGAAGAGGGCTCAGCCTTATTTGGGGGCAGGGGGACCACATGGAGGGTCCCAAGTCAGAAGATAAAAACATCTGTCTCGGGAGTCCTTCCTGCTTACAGCGGGAGGATCAGTGCTTGACCTGACTGCTCAATCTCAGCTGAGGCCCCAAATCCCTATAAACCAAGAGGAAACACCAAACATCTCTGCCTGCAATTTCCAGACACCTGCCCATGTATGGCGTGAAGAGCAGAGAGAAGCAAGGACACATGGAAAGTTATTTTTTATTAACATGGCAGACTCTAGGTGTCATTTTAAAAATCGTTTATTAAACTTCTGTATTTTCATACAGTAAACTTTAAAAATTACTATTTTAAATAAGGCAGTAACACATTTTGTTGGTTTAATACAAGCACTGCTGGAGTGGCCTTTGGAACACCCTGGCGTCTCACGTGGTGAGGACAGCCTACAAACAGCTGAAAAGCCTAGGAGGAGGCTACTGAGTCTGACAAACGGCATTTTTAGGGAGAAAGTCATGATCAGGGAATGACAGCTGCCCTTGGAGGAGCCTGCCAGAGGTGTCAGGGCAGAGTTACCTCACTGTGACATTCATGATGAGGACCAGAGGCTTTGCAGCTTCTTCAGAACCATCTGAGACCCCGCAGTGCTCGAGGGTTGGGCGTATTGGCTCATACCTACAGGCTAGACCAGTGGTTTTCCAAGTGATTATTTTTATCTTTAATGCTTGATAGAAAACTAATGTTAGGTGGAAACTCAGTAAGTACAATGGGCCAGAGTGGAGATGCCTGTGGACCAAATTGGCCCTCTGCTTGTTTTTATAAATAAAGTTTTATTGGCACAAGCCACGCCCACTTATTCACACATCATTTATGGCTGCTTTTGTGCTATAACCATAGAGTTGAATGGTTGTGACAGAGACTCATTGCCCACAAAGCCTAAAATATTTACCCTTTACAGAAAATATCCAGCCCTTTCTAGAAGTTGGCTGATTTCTGCTCTTGATGAAGCTGGGGTGGGGGACCTGCACCTCAGGGTGAGACACTGAGCACCAAGGCCCCTCTGGTTTAATTCACTTGATGGGCACCAAGCTCTGTGCAGAAGCTCTTGTCACAGCCCTGTTTTTCATATGAGGAAACCGAAGCAGAGGGTTCCAGTGATGGGTGTGAGGTCCCAGAGCCAGCATACGGGAGACACAGGATTCAAACCCGGCTATGTGGACTCCTGAGTCCACACCATGCCCACTGTGAGGCAGCTCTCTCTGCCAGGCCCAGGTGGGAGCGACGGGGAGCAGTGTGGGTCCATGGGCTCTGCTGGCACATCCTGGGGTGGTGGTCAACCCCGAGCACGGACAGCACAGGGAAGAACAGTCAAGATGGACCCAGGACCTTTCCTTGGACCTGAGCAGTGTCTGCAGGACCACAGACTGGCACGCAGATCCCACTGACAAGGACTCCTGACACTACCCTGTGGGCATGTGCCCCCAGGAGGAGCCCCCAAGGGTAGCCCATGGCAGCCCTAGGAGTCTGAATGTAAAATGCAGCCCTGGTGCTGTGACCAGTAAGGCTTCCAGTAAGGATGAAAAAGGGGATGAAGGGGAGGTGCCCTCCACGCTGAAGGCAGGGTAGGTACTCAGTGAATGGAGCGCCCTTCCCTTCCTTAGGCTGGGAGCTCCAGAGTGGACCCTGACCAAGGATTTTGGTACAAGTAGTTTTTTGGCATTGATCCCAGGAACACTCGTAGGGGAGGGGCAAGTGAGTCAGGGAAGGGAAGAAAGCTCATGTGGGACGCCTGGCTGAACAGGGGCCACTACAGTCTGTGGGGCACAGTACCTTGGGGAGCCTCTAGGTGTTAGGATTTGTCCCACGGTGTGCGTGTGTCGGGGGTAAGGGGGTAGGGCGGTGCTAGGGTATTTATCCTCCCATTCCTGTGTGCCCAGTTTCTGAATGCTCCATGGAAACCCCCAGCATCCTGGTGGGCCTCAGGCCAGCCAGTACTGGTGATGCCGGGGTCCTTGCTCATGGAGCCGAAGAATGAACTTCGCAAACAGTCAAGGTAGGAGAGCAAGGCAGAGGCTTTTATTTAGAGAGGAAACTCAAGGCTGCCTGCTTTGCCCCCAAGGTGGGCTGTTGTTGTCTGTCTGTTAAGAAACGTACTTTTTAACTAATTAGGTTTTAAGATGCAATCTTATTTTCAAGATGGGATCCTTCCTGTTTTTACTAGATTGTTTTGGGCTTGTTTGCTACATTGCCCAGGTTGCAAATCATCTGTTTAGGGCTGGAGGAAGAAAAGCAGCACCTGGGTAAAGTTAGAAAAACAAGTGGGCCCCCCAGCAGGCCGGAGCAAATCCCACCATGGATTCTCTTGCTTGCGTTTTTTTCCAGAGGCCCTCACCCCACTCTGTCTAAGCCCAGGGTCCCTGTCTCACTGGGGCCTGCAGAAGGGCTCCCGCACATGGGGCATGTGTGTAGGGACCCGGAGCCCCGGTGTATGGAGAGTGTGGTCCCTGTATCAGCAGCACCAGGGCCGTGCTGGACATGCAGGCCGTGACCTGCCAGATCAGAACCCTCATCGTGACAAGGCTCCCTGCGATCTGAGCACAGTAGAGTTTGAGAGGCCGTGAGGTCCCTCACTCCGGTTCCTTTCCATTTCTAAGGATAAAGGGAACCCCTTGGGGCCAGCGCCACCTGCCCGCTCTCCTAAGTTGGAGAGAGTGGGATGCCTCTTGTCTTTAATCGGGTTCAGGAGCTGTCTTCACCCCGGCCTGAAGAGCCAGAGAGGAAGACGGTAGATAAGAATGGCTCCCCCACCCTCCCTGGCTTTATGGAGGTATAATTGACAGATTTTTAAAAATATGTATTTACAGTGTACAAGGTGATGCTAAGATATACCTTTATGTTATGTGATTACTGCAACCAAGTTAATTAAATCACACAGCTGCCTTTTGTGTGTGGCAACAGCACTGCGGTTTCAGTACACGGTGGGGACAGGGCTGTCTCTTCAGTAAACCGTGCAGGGAAAGCTGAACAGCCACATGCAAAAGAATGCCACTGGGCCCTCTCTGACACCATACACAAAAATTTACTTGAAATGGCTTAAAGACTTAATTGTAAGGCCTGAAACTGTAACTCCTAGACAAAAATGAGGAAAAAGCTCTTTGCTGCTGGGTCTTGGCAATGATTTTCTGGATTTGACACTAAAGGCTCAAGTTCAAAAACAAACCGTGGGACTCCACCACACCAAAAAGCTTCTGCACAGCTAAGGGCACTGCCGATAAAATGAAAAGGCACCTCACGGAACGGGAGAAAAGGTTTGCAAACCGTGTGTCTGATGGGGGTTAATAGCCAAAACATAGAAGGATGTGGCTTTAAATCAGGGGTGACTGGCAGGATGCTGACTGGGCTGAGGCTAAAACCAAGGGCCTTCCAGACACACCTTAGCTGTGAGATGACCCAGGAGCCCGGGCCTGGCAGGAAGCCGTCAGCCCGCATGGCCAGCCCCACCACCGCTCACCGCCTGGGTCTTGTGCACCACCCACCCCCGCAGGGAGGCACGGAAAGCGCTGGAGCTCAGGTAGGCCTGCAGCTCACAGAGGTAGCTCTTTCTGGCCTCATCTGCGTGGTAAACGTACCCCTGCAAGAAGGAGCACAGGACCAGCCCAAGCTACCACACCTGCTGCAGGGGCACTGCAGCACGGCTCCCCCCGGCCACATGGTACTTACCCATCACAGAACATCCACCTCCTGGAGAGCTTTTCTCTGATGCCCCCAGCCTGCGCCACGCTCTCCCACACTCAGCTGCTCTTGGAGTTCCTGTGGGTACAGACCTCTGTCTCAGGCACCCCTCACCCTGGACTGTGCGTGCCAATTCAGGGGTCCTGACCCCCTAGACTGTGAGCTCCTGAAGGCAGGGCCTTTGACTCATCTCCATCCAGAGGCTGGCACGGGGCTCGGTGTGTGTGCCAAGTCTGCCTTAAGAATCCTTGTGGGCTAATTAATATACACAGCGATCATTTACTTTAGGTACCTAGTAATTTGGATTAGGATTGTGTTAGTAAGTAAAAAGTCTTTAAGACATGGGTACTTTGGGCTGGTTTTGCAAAGCGTGGAGCTGATAGTCCCTCAGGCCTCTTTGCTCAGGCTTCTGGACCTTCTTTCCCCCGGGCCTGTGGTACACGGCCTCTGTCCCGTTCTGCAGGGGTCTGAGTCCACCGAGGGGGCCGTTGATCATGTTGTAAGGCAGGGCTTTTAAACGCAGGCCTTGCAGGAGCTCCAGGGATGGCAGCTGAGGCAGGGAGAGGGTGAGGGAATTCTGAAATCGTGCAAATAGCTCAGAGCCTCCCAGAAACCCTGGCTTGGAGGTTCTGCCTCTCTCTGCCCTGGGCTTTGCGGCCACGATGCTTATCTGCAAAGCCAATTGTAATTTTGCCTCAGCCCCTCCAACTGGGACGTCAAGTGCTTAAGTCAGTGTATCAGGCAGTGACCGGCCCTACCCAGCATCACCCCCACTTGAACCACAGTGGCCTGGCTTCAATTTGTCTGGCATGGGAGCGTGTGGTGGGGGCTCTTCTTCCCCACTCCGGTGTTTCCTGCTGTACAGACCGGGGCTCCCTTAACTTAGCCCTCCTGGCCTTCTCTGCCCCACCCTCCCCTCCAGGGTGGAAAGGAAGGGCTTATTTGAGAGGTAAACTGGGAGTCAAAACCAGAGCCGCCCTGTGGAGCCCCGCCTTCTCTCTTCCCTCCTGGGATCTGCTGGCAGCGAGCAAGCAAGGGCTCTGGCCTGCTCTCGGCTGCACAGTCGGGCGCTGCCCTGAGCAGGAGGACCTGGAGCTGTCCAGGTGTCTGATGGGCTACGGCACCTATTTCCTATTTTGCTGCAAACCAGTGTAGGAAGGAGAGGGGTGTTATTGACACCCCCCAAAATTAGGATTTCTCTGTACTAATTTGAACCAAGGGCTTGGTATGGCCCAAACAAGTTGAAAGTGCAGCAGTTTGAAAACCATCTCTGGGTCTTTGCATTTAACATGGAGAAATGACACTCTGCAGGCAGGGGGCTGTGCTGGGAAAAGTATGGGCCTTAGGGTCAGACATAATTAGGACCGGTATGGGAGGGCTTCCTGTTGGAGGTGACGTTGGAGCAGGCATGGCTTAATCAGTGTGGCTGAATACTACAGTGGTGGCAAGGGGCAGAAGTTGACATCGGACATCTATGCCGTGCTAAAACAGCTTTGACTATATAAGTTGGAGTTTCCTCTCTTCTGACCTTGAGAACATAACTTCTGGAGGAGGTTGACCTGTGCTCTGTGGAAAGGCAGTTCCATGGTGCAATTAGGTAGAAATTAGTTTGATCCTAGAAATGCCACTCTGCTGCCCCTAAACGCTTTGCTTCATCTCTCTGTCCACACCGCACTCCAGGAGAGTGTGGAACTCAGCTGAAATATTTCTAAAATGAAGAGAATTACATAAAATGCTCCAAAATCCTGCAGAGGGGAATAGCTATTTCACTTAATTGACTCCAGAATTTCCTAAACTCATTTGACAACTTCCCCGTGTTTCATGGATCAGTCATTCTGCTTAATCAGTTTGGGAGACGGTTGATGCCAAGAGCAATAGGGACCCCGTAGCTGCTTCTGTGGAGTCCGGTGAGAGGCACCTCATGCCTGCATTCCAGAAATTTCCCTCTCGCTGTGGTGTGAAAAGATGGACCTGGAGAGAACAGCTCCTAATCGAGGCAGCAGACAGCTGGGGCCCCTTCTGACCTCGTTCCACTCAGAAAAGGACTCACTTGCTTTTTCTCTTGAGACAGCTGAGCCCACTGAGCAGCCACAGTTGTTGTGATTTCTGTAAAAGGCAGTTCCGGGTGCTTGGCCCTCAGCTGACTTCTCTGCTCATTTAGGAAGATCACATACCTGTGCCAGAAGCAGATGGAACACGACAGCTCTGAGCAACTTGGCTGGGAGGGGAGTTCAGTGCAGGTCAGCAGCTATTTCTACTTTTCTGGTTTTTATAAAAATAAAGTCATAGGTTGCCCATATTTTTTAATGTAACCAATGAGATGGAGGTTAATTCAAGAAGGAAATATACTGGAATGGCTGGTTTATTCAGAGCCTGAAGAAAGATGGAAGGGCCAGAAGTAGGGCTCCCTGTGCGAGGGGCAGGGGTGCACGAAACGTGGGTGAGCCTCATACTCGCCTTCCGTGTAATGGACATTAGGCTACCTGTTCACAGGGCTGTGCAGCCCACGTGCTCTAGGAACAGAGCCTCCTACCCTCCGATCAAGAAGGATTTGTGTTGGGGGAGGAGAAAGGCTGTGGGCATTGGAGTGGGAAAAACCAGTCTTCAGACCAAAAGGCCTGTCCGCAGGGGTTAACAGGAACGCTGGGAAAAGGCCCACTCTTTAGAAACGCGTGAACCCTGAGGATGAAGAGAAAAGCATGCATGCTTCTGGATGAGCAGGCGACGCTCACAGCAGAGGGAAGCAGCTGGCATGGGACCTCCCCTCTTCAGCTCAAGATGCCAGGGGACGAGGGCCAAGGTCTCAGCGCGTAGGGAGGGGCATTTTGAGCCTCAATGACGGTTAGCTAGCTCACCGGAACCTTATTATTAAGAACTGTTTGCTAAAGAACCAAACACCCTGCCCTCTCTCCCTGAGGTGTGAGGTCCCCAATAATCAAGGGCCCTGATAAACAGATGAAACCTGAGACGGGACCGCGGCCATGCCCAGCACCCAGCACAGGCCCCATGGTGAGCTAAGTGTCACTGAACACCCAGTCAGGAAACCAACCATCTCATCCTGTCCTAGGAGCACGGGGGACAGAAAGATCCCTGGGGGGGGGCGGTCTCCTTTTCTTGCCTTTAGGCCAGCCCCCTTTCCTTTTCGGAAACAGAAATACCACAGAGGACAGCCTGAAGACTGTCAACAACTGACCACATTCGGATCCCAGTTTACAACAATGACAATATACTGAGGTGTCCACTCCTCGTTCATCCACGTGGCCTCTGACGTCCTAGCACCTTTGCAGGGTGGCAGGGATCATCCCTGCAGACGAGGGAACCAAGGCACGCAGAGATGCGATCACTGCCCGGTGTCGCCCCGCAGGTGTGGAAGTGGGGGCACGGTCCCCCTGGCTGAGCCGTGGAACCATCACTGGGCACGATCAAGAAAGCAACCCACAGCTTAGGGAACCAGGTTCACAGGTGGAGGGGACCAAGCCCCCACCTCAGGGGCAGGGGCAGAGGGTTAACATCTGAGTTTGACTGCTGCCCAGCCTGGGTTCACGTCTCAGCTCTGCCACTTACTGGCCACGTGGCCTCAGGCAAATTAGTAACATCCTTGCACCTCAGTTTCCCCACTTGTAAAATGGGGGTCATAATAGTTTTTACCTTGTGGGTTGCAGAGAGGATGAAACATGTTAATACTCACGTAGTTTTCAGAACAGAGCAAGGCACCCACTAAGTGCCTACCACATGCAGGCCAGTGTGAACGAATACAGTGCCCTCCCTGCTGAGGCTGGCTTTGGGGGGGACCCCCGTGCTACAGGCTGACCCTCCCGCCTGCTGCACATCTCGATTCATCAACAATGCCTGTGGGCCTTGCTCTCATGGGGCCCTGGGCCAGGCTCAGAGGCTGGGGGCAGGATGAGGCACAGGCCCTGCCCTCAAGCAGCTCACAGTCTAACGGTGGAGGCTGACTTGTAATTAAATTATCACAACAATTCATTACAGGGGGAGGAGTTACAGAGTGACAGCCTGAACACCCCTGCCTTCAGGGCTCAGTTTCAAGGTTTCCTAAACCGAACATGGGCATGTGTCCAAAACGGCAGACGGTAATCAAAATCTGGCCTTAAAAGCCTCTGTTTCACCTGTTTCAGCTTTGTAGTTTTTGGCCTTCCCTGGGCCTGGAGATGCAAAACCGGCCAATGGAGGAGGCTTTGGCGCTGTCACAGACAGGACAGATGTGCTGGGGACCAAAGCACGGAGGTCAGTGCACGGCATCGGGGGCTTAGGAGCTGGAGGGCAGAGCTTGAGCCAGGCAGAGGCAGAGACAGGGTAGTAACCTCATGTGTTAATGAGATGGACCTGTGGAGCACCCAGCATGCCGTACGTGTACAATAATGACACTCTCCCTTGCTCACTTCTGTGCACACACACTGTTGATCCCTGGAGCCTGAGAGGATGGACAAATCTTTCAGAACCCTGGAGAGCTCCCAGCCACTCTGATTTCCTCTAATACACACTGAGAGTAATCATTTCTACAGTCAAGTTCCCCGGGGGCTTTCCTACACACGTCCATGTGAGGCTCCCATTCTCCAGCTAAAGCCAGTATTATCATCCCATGCCACAGGAAGACACTCGGAAAGATCACGTGATTTGGCCACTGAGTGGCAGGGCCATGCCCAGAGCCAGGAGCACACCACCCACGCCTCAGTCATGCCTCCTGAGGGGGACCCTACAGCTGCCTGGGGTCAAGTGGGACACGGGCCAGGTTCCCTCCGCCCCTATGCACAACGGCCACCTTCTCTCTCCCTGTTCAGCTCCTCTGCTGTACACAGAGGGGAAGTTGTTTTTTAAAATTAGATGGAATATTTTAATGTATTTTATTGTACTTCTCCATATTCTGGTATCGTAAGTCAAAAATCAAAATAAATGTGCTTATCATTTTACTGCCATCCTCGGCCTTTTGTTTCAGTTTCTTTATTAAAAGCAGATCCTTTCTGAGTGTGTTTTAGTTTGCCCAGAAACCATAGTTACTAAGACACAGGCAGCTGGGAAGGCTGCAGGGATATTTTTCTCTGAAGCTTTTTGCCCTCACTGAATTTCTCACACAGGATTTATACCAAATTGACTCTGCCTTAAATAGAGTCACGTACCCGGTGAGCTGATCATTAGCACAGGGTGATCGAGGTGGAGAACATGCCCCGCACACTTGAGTGCATCAGTTAAAAAGGAAAAGGTGAAGTAGGACATGAGTGAGCAAGGGAAGAATAGCCTGCAGCAGGAAATCAGCTGATTGGCAAAATTCAAGGGGGAAAAAATCATTCCAACAGGATTCTTGGCAGTCACAGGTGTTTCATGTTCACAGTGCAACAATGGATTTTGGATATTTAGTTGTATGAACAGAATTTTCTTTTACAATGAAGACCCCCTTTGGGAGTCAGCAGGCTGGAGCAGAAGAGGCAAGTGGCTGGGGTGACAGATACGGGCTCACCCCCCAGCTCGGACACCCCTTGAGTTTAAAGGCCACCTTTCCCTCTGCAGCTCCCAACTGTGACACCACAAAGTGGACTTTCTGGTGCACGAGCTGATGTTTGTAAAGGGCCAGCATGTGCCTGCCGCACGGCAGGGATTCAGCACTTGTGTTCCTTCTCCTTATCAGGGAGGGAAAACCTCAAGAACAATGCTAATGAGCAGGGCTCTGCAAGGCACCTGAGCAGGTCTCAAGGAGAACAATATTTTAGTTTATGCAACTTATCATGTCATTCATTTGGAAAACGGACCAAACTCTGATGATTATAATCATGGTTAGGAAGAGGCTCTTGGCCTCTGTGAGTTTTGCGGTCAGCTCCCCCAGCTAGGTCTAGGTCACAGCTATTTGCGTGAGAGCAGTGGTCTTGTTAAGGGGCACGCAGCACCCCTCCCATTTATCACAGATGGTGTCTGCACCCCATGGCTCTGGACACCATGAGAAAAGTCAAACCGTTAAAGGCTGGGTTGTTGCCTTTAGATATCACAGTCCTGGTTTAAGTCAAAACTCTAATTCATTTATTTCTGAAATAAACCAAAATGGCAAGAGATATTTTTCTATTTCTTAGTGGAGGACAATGCCTAATTTCTCATCCCAACTTTAACCAGGTTTGCAGACTAGATGCCAAAGAGATAGTTTATGATTCTAAGTGACAGTGGAGGGTGGTGGTTAAAGCATGAGTTCAGGAGTAACTGTCCAGATCCAAGTCCTAACGTCTCCACCTACTGGCTGTGAAACCCCGAGCACATTACCTACCCTCTCTGTGCCCAGTGTCCTCCTCTGTGCAGTGGAACACCAGCTCTTACCCCACTAGCTGTGAGGGCTGAAAGAGCTGGGCCAGGGGCCAGGGGCCAGGGCCCCGGCAGCCCTGAGCGCTGCTGTTCAGGTAACCGAGGCAGCCGTACTACATTCTAATCCTGCCCCACCACCTCCCGCACCTATTATCTCGGGAAAGGCCTTAGACTTCCATCTCTTTATTGTGAGGGTCATACAGGGAAGGTCTAGACGAAACCCGTGCTGCTCTGACTGGGTCTCAGCTTTGGCTCTAAGAAAGCAAAGGCCCTGAGCTAAGCTCAGCACAGTTCTCTGTGGCCAGCTGTCTCCCCAGTATCCATTCTGCCCTTCTTCATTAGGAATTGAGCCCTGAATTTCAGCTGGGCACATGGCCACCTGGAATAAATATGTTCCTCAGCCTCTCTCATGGCCAGATGGGGCCATATGACCAAGTTATGTAAGGGTAATGTGAAGGATTGCAGGCAACTTCTACAACATCTTCATAAAAGGAAGGCATCTTTTTCACCTTCCTACTGGCTAGAATGCAGACATGAAGGCTGGTGCTCAAGCAGCCATGTTGGATCATGAGGTAGCATGCTAAGAGTAGCAAAGCAGTGAGATGGAGGGAGTCTGGGCCCTGCTGATTGTGATACCTCCATACCAGCCCTGACCTACCTACCTTCAGATGTCATTTATATGAGAAAGAAAGAAACAAATTATCTTGTTAAATCACTACTATTTGGGGAGTTTTGTTATGTACAGCTGACTGATCTTAACTAATAGAGATGGTTACTGCTTTTATTTGTGTATTTCTAAGCAGACCTGGTCATCTCTCACCTGAACTATTACAATAATAAGGTGAAAAAGGAAAAACTTTTGTTGTGCACCTGTTACAGAAACAGTTATTTGGTAGGCGACAGTCATCTAAACCTCAGAAATTCCTTTAAAGTAGGCAAAGTTATCCCCATTTTACCAAGAAGGAATTGAGGCCTGGAGAATTAACATGTCTTGTGAAAAGTGTCACAGCTAGGAGGTGGCAAAGCTGGGATTCCCATACCCACTTATTGGCCTCTGAAGCCCACCCACCTCCCATGTAGCCCCACCAGCTGCCCTCCACCCCACCCCTCACCAGCTGCTTCTCCCGCAAAGAGGAGATTGGGGCCATCCCCCAAGTGAGAACTGCTCACCTCACCCTAGAATCTTTGCCAGCAACCCCAAGTTCCCTCGAATGGTTAGGCTCACGAGCCAGACTCTCTGAGCTTCAGTCTTGCTCTGCCTTTTACTGTGTGACCCTGGGCAAGTTCCTGGACTTTTCTGTGCCTCAATTTCATCCCCATTGAAAAGTGGGGATGAAAATACCAACCTCCCAAGGCTGAGAGAATTCAAAGAGAGCACACAGGAGTGCCCGCCCCAAGCTCGGAGCACAGAAAACACTGAACATGCGGCTGTTAGGGCTCAGGCCCATGCCCGGCAGCTGGGGGCCCTCTGTGCCTGGCCTGGGCACGGCACTCACCTTTGCCTCCTCTGTGTCCTGCTCCTTTGCATCCCCCTGGTTGCCTTGCATGATGTGCTGTGTGTGCAGGGGCGCCAGGTCCTGGCAGTGGGTACGGCTCACGGAGCAACCAGGGGGCTGGCTGGCTGCTCCACTTGGAGGCAGGAGAAAGAGTCCCACAGGCACTGAAACAGCAAGAAATGGCCCCATGATGGGAGAGGTATTGGAGCCACCCCCACCCCTGACACCCCGACCCTGTGCAGCACAAGCACTCTGTGACGTGACATTTGCATTTTAAATGCCCACGAGTGACAGTGAACACCTGGCACAGAGTTGGTGGTCATTTTTCTGGGGCACAAATGGTAACCACACCGAGGAGGTGAGCACAGTAACAAGTCCATCCACTGTGAGTAGGCACGAGGGGCCAGGGCCTGTCCTCCAGCTCTGCTCTGCCAGACTTGGGGCACAGCCCTTCACCCTGTGCAGTGAGAGTGAGTGTGCAGACCATCTGGGCTCAGATGCCAGCTGCCACCGGTTAGCTTCGTGTCATCAGCAACACACTGTGCTCACAGGTCTTTACATGTTAGGGTGACTTCCAGGCTTCCTTTGTAGAGTTGTAGAAAGGCCTACTCACACACAGGCTGCCTGCTGTGAGCTGGGCACCACAGACGTCGGTGTACAGAGCAGACAGAAGTCCAGTCCCCCTGGAGCTTTCACGCTGGGGGTGGGATTCAATTAAATGTGAGGAGTCCTCGGAACAGCACAGGGCACTCAGCAGGCTCTCAGTTAATGGCACTGTACTTTAGTGGCTTTGTAAATTGCTGCATCTGCAGACGTACCCCTCGGAAACATTTAGAGTGTTGACTGTGGTCAAGTTATCCCCTGATCCTCTGTGAAGGAGACGGGGTGGTAATGATCCCATTTTATAGATGGGAGGAGGGAGGCACAGGACACTACACAGTTCAGGTCTATTAGGTGTATGCACAACCACATTTTCTCCTACCTACGTGCCCCACCCCCAACACACACACACAGGCCTGTGTGTAGATGGGGAAACTGAGGCACAGGGAAGCAGAGTGATTGCACACACTCACACAAGTGGGAGAGGCCAGCAGAGGTCTCCAGGCTGCCTGCTCAGGGGTCTGTCCTGCCCCCTCCAACCTGTCCCAGCTGTGGTCCCTCATGCTGAGCTGAAGGTAACAACTCTCAAGGCACTGTCCTTAAGTGCGACCTCGTCATTCTCTCCGTAAGTGTTAGTTAACAAGCACAATGCAGGAAACGCCCTCTGCAAACCCATCCAAATACCGACTCATCTGAGGGGAGAGAGGACAGAATCAGTGACTTGCCTCAGCTTCTTGGGAAGAGGAAATGTGGCAAATGGTGATTGACCAAACCTAGAGTTCCAGAACTTTCCTGGCCTGTCGCTATTTCTGTATCCACATGGCCACACCTGGGCCAGGCCTTGGAATCCATCACTGGCACCGTTCTTATATTTTTTAATGGTATTTTTGTTGTGAACTGTAACTCGTGGATATGGCTCAATCTCGTAAATCAAGGGGCACCCACGGGGTGATGGGAAAAGGCAGAGCTCGCTTCTCCCTGGTCCTCTAGCACCCAGTCCACTCCCTGGAGGCAACCACTGTTAGGGGCCCTTCTCATGCCCTTCCAGAGCTATTCTGGGCATTTACAAACACTTCTGTCCCCTACACTGCACTTAATCTGCTTTTTTCCCTGCATCTTGGGGCTCTTTCTGCAGGGCATGTAGAGCTGCCACATTCTGGGGGGAGCCTGCATTGTATTCTGGCCCCGGCCACAGTGCACTTAGCAGCCCTTAGTAAATGGTGCAGCTGATTCCTGGTCTTCAGACCTGGCATTTCATGCATGTGGTGGGCTCTGTAAGAAATGGATTGCTGGGTCACAGGGCATGTGTTTTTGTAATCCAGATAGGCCCTGGCTGACACATTCTCCTCCACAGTGCTGGATCACTGCCACCGGGGCCACAGGAGGGTCCCAGGAACTCCCCTCTCTGCTTACAGCCCTCCATGGCTTCCTCCGATGTCAGGATGTGAAGTCCAGGTCCCCCAGCCTGGTATTCAAGGCTTGAGGAGGCTGGGCCTCACCTCTCCTCCAGCCATACACTCATCCAACTGATACAACTAACTTTGAAAGGTGGGAATCAAAACAGACGATGATCACATCCTTTACACATATTATCCTGTGTGATCTTCAGCACGATGCTTATTACCATGGAGAGATCCACAAGTGGAGAAAGAAGCTCAGAGAGGTCAGCGACCTCCCCAAATGTGCACAGCAGGGCAGGGGCAGATGGGACCCTCCACCTTGGGCTGCCTCCCCTTTCCATCTCCCCAGCCACCTCACCCAGAAGCAGACATCCTTTCCCACCCAGTACTGCCTGATTTCACCCTGATGGGTCCAGGCCCCAACCCCCCTGCCTTGGCCCCCTTTCCAAGAGTCCAGGCACAGTCGAACAGCAGCGAGGAGCCCATTTGGGAAGCAGCCCTCCGTTGATTAGTTGATTCGGTGGACAGACATAAGGACCAGCGTGGGACAGAGTGCTAGGCCCCAGTCAGAGGCTGCAGAAACAGACACAGCCACCAGCACGGCCCACAGGGAGCTCTCAGTCAGTACCAAGTCTCAGGTCCCTGGAGGTGACATCATGGAGATGGCTTTGCCTTACTCTCTTTTTAATTTTGGGTAAACCGAGGCTAGGTAAGGCTCTGTGACTTGCTCAAGATCTCCAGCCCAGAGACAGGTGGTGTCTGCCCCAGAGCCCCAGCCTCTGCACCTGGACAGTGCCCTGGTCACACCTGTGACTTAGAACATCTGGCTTCAGAGACAGCTGTGCCACCTACCAGCATGTCACGTCTTCGTGCTTCAGTGTCCTCACCTGTAACATGGGGACACTGAGGACTGACACCCAGGAAGCAGGCTATAGGCAAGAACTGCTGTTATTCTAACTAACTCTGTGTTGGAATGTGAGGACGCTGCCTGTGAGTTCAGCTTTAGGCCCCAATGCCACGTGGCCACCCATGAATGAAACATTAGCCAGAGCAAATTACACCAATTTCACTTAATTATCCTACAAGTTTGGGACATAGTATTTTCTTCTTAAGGGAAAGTTCTGGACTGAGACCAGAACCTTTCCAGCGTCAATTTCAACATCTGCACTCTTGGCCTGAAGCTCTGGCACGCCCAGATCTAGGTTGAAATCCGGATTACACCCATAAAGACCCGTGGGGTCGCATTCAGGTCACTGAACAGTCGCTCAGTGTGGAGACGAGGCAATGCCGAACCGCGGCCCGGGACCCTAGTGGCAGCCAGACCGCAGGCCAGCTCCGGCCTGACAGTTCCTCCTGCAGCGCTAGCGGCCACGGGTGGGGACGGCGAAGGCACGGGCAGCATAAGGCGCCAAAGCGCAGGCCCGAGTCACGTGCCAGGGCCTGGCCGGGGCTGGGCTGCTAGGAGCGCGCACACTCCGCCCCAGGGACGACCCCCCACTTCCCGGGCAGCGGGACGCACGCGACGGGGTAGGGGCCGCAAGTCCAGCCACTGACCCGCAGCCCGGCCGCTGTCCTGCTGCATGTCGGCCGCCTCGCGCCCACCTCTCCAGCTCAGCCCACCCGGTGCGTCCGCCCTGCGCCCACCGTTCCACCCCGCGCCGGGGGCGGGGCTGCCGCCCCCCAGCCGCTGCGGACGCCCGGGAGCGGGCTGTGTCCGCTCTGGATTGCGTCGACCTGGGCGGGCACGAGGGGCGAGAGCCCCAGCCCGCAGGGCGCTCCGCGGTCCCGGTTTTCCGAGCATCCGCGGCCGGGCACGGCCAGGGGGCGGGACGAAGGTCAGGCAGCCCCGCCCCGCGCCCCCGCCTGGCTGAGCGGGTCCCTCCGTCCGCCCCGCAGTTACGTAGGGGCGCCCCAGCGGCGAGGACGACCCCCTCGGCGATGGCTCGCCTCGAAAGTACGTCTTCCAACATTTTCAAGCCACACAATACATAACAGAGTATCACCGTGGCGAAATTGGAAAATTCGGAGCAGCCAGTCTCCTGGAATCCTGCACTTCAAAGCCAACCACTATTAACCCATTTACCGTAACCCTCCTTTACGTTAAAAAAATTCAAAATATAATATCAAAGATAGTTCTGAACATTTAGAAATAGGCACGAGCTCCACCCCCTCGTTCCAATAGCAACACTTCCACAATCACATATTCCATTGTGGGAGTTGTTGGCCTAGGGCAGGGGACCCAGATCAGCCATGGGCTTCACACACTCTGGGGGCCTGTAGGATGGCACAGCCTCTAGAGCCGAGGGTCCGGGCTCATCAGCTACCTCTGCTGGTGACCTTGGGCCGTTTACTTCGCCTTTCTGGGCCTACACAATAAGGATGGTTATGGGATGGGCAAGTTAATACTCCTACAGTACATCAGAGGCACAAGACAGATATGTCAGCTACTATTTCTGAGGCCTTTGGCATGTATCAAGGGTAATGAGCAATAATCGTGCAGCAACATAATTTGGTCTCGCCATGCTCCCCCAAAGCTCCACACTCCATTCTCTCGTTTTTATTTTAACCAATCCAGGGCTTCAACCAAATCACTAACACTCCCTGTTCCTCAGTTTCTTCCTCTACAGAACAGAAATAGTAGTAATAGCATTACAGGGTGCTTGAGGTTTAAATGAGACGCTGTCAGAGGAGAGGGTCCGGAATGGTTGAGAACCAGGCGTGGTGTGTATTATGTGGCCAATGACGTGAACAGCTGCCCTTCTGACTGGTGGTGTCCCATAGGCACAGGGAAGCTCCAGGGCTGAGCCAACCTGGGCTGGGAGTGCAGAGCAGGAAAGGAGCCCAGAATCTAGAGCGCCATTCCCTCCTTGGCTAGTGGAGAGAACTGAGGCCTGGAGAGGGAAAGTGGCTTGCCCGAGTAAAGTTCCTTCTAAACCCCCACGCAGTTTCTCAATTCAGTCCAAATAAATGCAGCAAATACATGATGAGATAATCTCCTTGCAAAAATTAATAAAAAATATTCCCTGAAAATCGATCCTTGAGATTGGCTATGAAAATTACACAATAGAAGAACATTTAAGTGCAACTTGCATTTTCATACATCAGACTACACATAACGCCACTGGAATCCAATCAGGAAGGTATTGACAGAGGAATGCACAAGC